GTGTGTGTGTGTGTGTGTGTGTGTGTGTGTGTTTAGAAGCAGCTACTGGAGCTGGGAAGGTTCAAACTTGTCCACTGGTTGTTTACATAACCCTGACAGTTTATTGGTTGACATTTGTCAGGAGACACTAGTGGGAAATTGTTTACTCAAGTTCAGTTTTCATAACCTCACCACAAGATCTCGGTTGTCACTGTTTGCAACACAAAGAGCTTAATGCTCCATGTAAAAAACGGTACAAACTGATTTACAAACAAATCCAGGATTTTCACTTGTCTGAGTAATCATATAAGCTGTCTTTGTGTCACTGAAGTAAGGTTATTTTTTTAACTGGTTTACGTGAAAGAGAATACTTTTTAAACATTTTTGTTGACATTATTCAGGGGTCTATTTGTCAAAGCGACATCATTTTATAGATACTGTATGTCTAATAGCATACGATTTAAAAGAGTGGTATTATATATGCACAAGGCCAAGCGCCCAAAAATAATATTAGCATTTTTAATAAAAGGATTTTTTTCCCCAAATGCCTTGATTTAACTCATTTGTTGTAAAGTGCAAATATACCTTACAGCAAACAGCTAAGAGAGCTGACTTTTGTAACTTTGAACTGTAATTCTAGTCTTTTTGTGCTTTAGACTTAATAATAAATTTAAGAAAAACTGCTCTGTGTGACCAGAAACTTTAAAATTAATTTAAAGGATTGTAATTTGTAAATATTAAAAATTATGTTGCTTGTGTCCCAAAATGTAGTTCTAGCCCAGGATTTGTTGCCCAACTTATTCCTGAACTCAATCTGTTAATATAAGGAAGCTCCAAGCTTCCACTGCTTCCTGATTATATGCTAAGCTACGCTATCATACTGGCCCTGATGATACCAGAACACCAGATCAGGTCTGGTTCTAAAAGCTGTTTCAATGCCTGTTTCTCAGCTTCTCATAAACATGCTTTGTTGTTTGGTTTTCCTGCAGATTATAAAAGATGTGCTCGTCTGCTGACTCAACTGGCCAAGAGCCCTTACTGTGCAAAGAGATAAACAGGCCTCGAGATGGTAAGACTGAGACATGGACACTAACATTCATGTACACAGAGCAAACTATACACCCAAAAAACATTGCACTGACTTAGTGTAGGTAAAACTAAAACACCATTAACAGTATGGAACCCAAGCAGTGACCTTTGAAGCATTAGGCCCAAAATTCTGAAGTCAAAACATTTTTGTCGTTTAACACAGTAAAAAAAAGTTCACTACAAAGCATCCCAAACATGGACAAACATCTTTATCTGACATGCCTGTGGGCCAGCAGCTCCTTCAATAGGGACCACAGAAGGAGAAAATAAATGTATTGGGCACAATGTGAACTTTGTAAGTATTATTAGCAGAGCCTGAGAGAAAGTTAAAGTTCAGCCACAAACCGACTGCTGACTGATGCAAAGTTTGTAGCAAACAAAAACTGTATAGAACCTGAAGAACATTCAGTACACAGGAAAACCAAAAGTTGTAAACAAAGCAAATAAAAATATCCCAGAGTGTAGTGAGAAATGTAAACAATTTTTCAGAGAGCATATCAAAAGTATGATAAAAAGACTGAAATTGGATTCACAATTCATTCTCGGATAACCTGAAGGTATTAAGTGACCCTTTTACAACAGGCTAAACTACTTTTGTGTCAACACAAAACTGAATAGAGTGAATTTTAATTTGGATCTTTAGACTCATTGGGCCTCATGCAAGAACATGTTCGTATTTTTATCCTAAATTTCTCTTACTTTTGTTCGTACAAAGGG